AATAATTCAAACATACACTTTATTTTTGCTTTTGTGAAATCTTGAATTGTCAAATGATTGCTTTCTTTAGATTGTACGTTCATGACAATTTCTTACCTTTTAACTTTAAGTTGAACACAATATTGTACCAGATCCTGTCAATTTTTTCAGGGAAAAGAAGTAAACTAATTGTTTGGTTGAAACAGCTTGTTGCCATTTTCCGTTCTGTTACTACATCTCTTTGTGATGTCACATCCATCAAATTGTTTTTACTTTCACTGCTGTATTTCCACTTAGTATTGGAAACTGCAAGCCTATAATAGGGCACCAAAAAACTTACATCTGCTTTGAGTTATTAATGACTTTGCTCTCTCCTAGGTCTCGTCCTCCCACTTCTGTCCCTTTGTTTTCTTGTCCAGACAGAAACAAAGTGAACTTCATTCCCAAAGGATCAGCTTTCTTCCCTGTGAGCATCTTGAGCCGACCTCTGTTCTCCACCTCTGACCTGTTACTCAAGAGCTCATCAATCTCTGGCCTCAATCCTAGCGTAGCATCCAGCACTGTGACTGCAGAGCAGTTTCCATCTCAGGTCTCATTCTCACCTTTGTTAGATGACACCAGCACAAGGGACTCTGAGGCCTTGGTTCAGCAGACATTGCGTCAACAGCAACAGCTCCATGATTCTCAACGTGAAGAACTTTCCTCAGCTCAGAACTTTGTGCTAATCTAGCCCTTACACCTCCCACTGCTGCCCCTGTATGGGTTGGAGCAGGCCTCTGCCGTTATCTAGGAGCAGCCTATATATCTGCATGGAGTAGCACCTGCATTCTGAACAAAGGTTCTTAGAATTTTAGCATATCTTACACTGTTACACTGTTCTTGGCAGGGATAGATTTCCTTTTTTAGGAAATTTGAGAAGCAGTGATGCTTGTAAAACACGTGCTTTCATATGAGTGTTTTAAGTGCAGACTATGCATTACATGGTAAGTTTGGATGGATTCGTACTGTTGTTCTGTGTTCTGTTCCATCTCCTACAATAACAGAAAAGCTCTATATATAAAAAATGCCTGTCTAAAAGATAGAAAATAGATGTTCGTTATGTCCAATGGTTAACAAATATTGTTTACAAACAATCCAGGTCATTTAAGTTTATAAATTTCTGTAATACATACAATGCAAAAAAGAAAAATGGCCACAACAGTTGCACAGTGCCCACCCTATGGCCTAGCTTCAGGTACTTCAGTTGAAGTCTAAACTCAGGTAATTTGGAATGTACATCCACATAGGATTTTAACGAATTTGTGGCTGAACAGGCTAAGGGGAGTTTGGGGTAAGAATCACTCTCTTGCCTTTACGTTTTATACATTAACTTTTCCTCATTACATTCCACTTTCTTTAACTAAAAGTGCATTCTGATCCAGGGAAGACCTGGACGAGGGTGAATATTAAAAAAAACCAGCATTTCTGTGATGTTTGACATCACTTGTTTTCATGGATGTTCAGTCAAAATTTACATAAACCATTGCTTTGGAACGTCTCAAGGTTTTTTGACATTTCAGAAACGAAGACAAAGTGTTTCAGGTGTTGAAGACTGTTAAACTGTTACAAATACAGTTGTGTTGAATACTGGGCTGTATCTAAGAAACATTCCATGTTGTAAAAAAATCTGATGATCAAATCTTTAAGTTTCATAATCAGACTCTTCAGGTTCCTGTGTTAGATATGTTCCCTTTTCTGTGTGTGAAGTTTGGAATTGGCAGACAAACAAAGTAAAATAGTGTCACAAAGATGAAGTAAAATTAATGTTTAGTTTCTCATCATGAATCCACTTTTTATTTTAACAATCTTGCACTTTCTTCCTGTGGCTCCTACAAGGTGCCCTTTCTTTTATAAAGAGAGTTTTTAAAAGAACAATTACTTAAGTAGTATTTATTTAACTGAAATGTGATAAATTAAGGTCCTGCATGGCTGATTATCATTTTAGGATTCATTTTGATAAATGTCTGCTATTATTTAAAAAAAAATGTTATACTGGAAAGGATAAAGAATTGCTGTTTGTTTTGTGGAACAAGAGTCTAGGACTCGGCATTCAACTATGGAAGTAAAGTTTGTAGCTGCTGTTGAATTTTACCATTGTGGTTGGTAGAAGTGACATAAGGTTAATCTATGAGAACTCAGTGAGAGATACTGATGTATCCAAAATTCCTTTTTAATCTTTCATTTGAGAAACTAGATATTAATTTTTACCAAACACTCTAGCAAATCTGTTCTGATTATGATCTTTATAAAGGTTTTAAACCAAATGGGTTGAAATTTAGCTAACTTCAAAAAGAAACATAAATTTAAAATATTATTGGTCTTGAAGTGTATCCTACATCTAGATGTAGAAATTTTGTTTGTCAAATGCATTGTTTAAAAACTTGTTTCGAATTTTGTATATAGTCTTGCTGTTATTTCTAGCCATCGTGCTAAACAGTATTTATGAGTTGCCACACAATGCTTCAAATAATGCGCAGTGTGGCTTTTGTTTTGTATTTTTTTCAGTATATAGTTCTCGTGTCTTATTTAAAATAAAATTATAGCGAATGGCATGAATAAAAACTGACAATTTTCTAATCACATTTGCTTTTTAATTTTGTTAATTGGCAACAAATCTATGCATATTGTAGACTTAAGATTGAAGGTTTACCAGGATTGCAGTGACCAGAACAAGTGCTTCGTAAAGTATTTTTAAATTGGTGCCCAACTGCAAATTAGCTGAAATCCTTGGTTTACAATGTGATTGTTTGACTAACATATAATTGTGTTCCACCCATTTTCTACAATGCAAGAATACAGTGCCTTTACAAAGAAAATAGGTGGGGAAAGCAAAGACTTAAAATTTGGAGGAATGGATCAGCCATTCGTAACTAAACCATTCAGACCAAGAGGGTCTGATATTCTGTCTTTCACCTCTTCTGAGCTAGCTCATCTCAATTTGTCAAATGTTGCAATTAGCTGAGTACTTCAGTTTATGGAAAGATGATGGGGCACACGTTTACAACAAATTTTAAGCTGAACATGTGGCCTATTAAAATGCCCTGGGTCATTTATCTGCCTGATTTTACCCTTTCCAATTAAAGTGCCTTTTTCTGGTGAGGCAGCTAGGCTAGATGCTAAAGTCATACATTAATATATTAATTGGGTCTGATGACAATGTCAGGCACTGACTGCTGTTTTCTTTAAACTGACTCTGAAACCATGGTTACTATTAGGTCAATGGAGTGCCTTAGGATCATCTTCTCTCATGAAGTCAAATAAATATAAGTTGCTTTCATATAATAAACACATTATATGTAAAAGTATATAACAAAATTATGTAAGCAATATATGGATAATTGATCCCATAAAAAAAATCAAATGAACAGGATAAAACAGGTCTTGATCTACCATCTTGTTCTTGGCCCTTTAGACTCCCAGGTAAAGTTTGTGTTAAAAACGTATGTTTGATTCAATTGAGGGATTGTTTGATTGGATTTTATTTCATCATAAATTCAAATTTTTGATAGAATAGCTACATAATGACATCGTTTCTAAACATTATTTTAAAAAATGCAAATGTTTTTATTCCCTATCCCCACAAATGCCTTACAGTACAGAAAAGCTAAGTATTGCTTGTTCTAACCTTACACAGAGTAAACTGCATACACCCACTATTTCTCCTTTTTATTCACTTTAAATAAGGTCCTTGCAACAATGACCTGCATTTAAATAGTGTCTTTTACAGGGTAAAGCTGTGCTTCACAGACATGTTGTCACACAAATGTGGCACTCGGCCACATAAAGGAATATTAAGACGAATAATTAAAAGGTTGGTTGAAGAAGCAGGTTTTACATAGCACCTTAAAGAAGCATAGAAGGAGAGGGAAAGGTTTATGGAGGTCCTAAGAGAGGGAATGTAGATTTTAATGAGCATTTAAGAGGAGAGAATGTCAAAGAGCAAATCCCACATGGGGACTAAAGACTGAAGAAAATTGAGGAAGCACAAGAGTCAAAAGTGGTGTTTTGCAATGCTGTCAGAAGTTATACAGCTAGTGAAAGTTGGTGATAGGGAGGGGTGACACTGAGGAAATTTATGTGTGAGGATGAAAATTAAAGTGCCTGAACTGGGCACCAGTGTAAGTTAGTAAGTGGAATTTGATCAAAGCTGGAATACAAATGACAAGAGGTTTGCGTAAGATGAAGCTTGACAGCAGAAGATATGGAGGCCATTCGGGACAACTTTGGATTAATTGAGTGCAACCTTGAATGCGGTAGTCTGGGGGTTAGGAAGCTGGAAAGTAGTAAATAGTACTTGGGATGAAAGAATATTGATTTACGAAAGATTTGAACTATCCCAGTAGATGTTCAGGTGAATGTAGAAGAAAGTTATTTTATATTCATTTCAAGAGTACAGTTGTAGTCTTTCATTCCATTATGGCTTTTACAAAAAATATTATATGCAATATTTCTTTGTATCATTAAATCTACACCATGACAAAATCTTTTGAGAAAGCAGTGATTTACCTTAATGTTGAGATTCTCAACTGGGGATTCCTGAGCACCTAGGAGTTTCAAGGCTTTGCCAAACAGCATCTTTCAACAATAAAGTAAATGTCCCATTCTGCCTACAATGTCATTAAAAACAGTGAGGGTAATCATTTACCAAAATCAGTGGTGTCAAGTTATTTGTGAAGATTAGACATTGATATAAAATATACAAATAGGGAATGGTTCTAGGGATAAATGGTCATGCAGATACATTGTATGTACTGATCCATCCCTCACAGATTGACTGAAAATAGGCAGCCAAGTGGAGTTAAAATCTAACACACAAGTTTGAACTTACTGGAAGTATAAGGAGAGGCAACATAGACTTAATTGCACAATTCTGAAGAGTGTGCAGGAACTGCAATAGGTTTTCTATTTAAAGAAAAGCTTGTTAATTCAGTAACTGTTTAACTGTTTATTTGCTGTGATTATAAAATACACAAACACCCAGGTTTTCCGAAAATCACTTAAAAAGGAGAAAGGATTCTATTGATTGTGCTTAATCCAGTCTAAATAAAAATAATAAACCAATTTAAGCTTACAAACACACATTCTAAATTTACACACACACACCAGTAGTTGCAGATTGGGATGAATACATTATGTAATATTTTGAAGGAGAGTGCAGATTAAATTTATACAGTTCTTGCAGGTGGATGACTCTTGTGGATCCAGGCTGAATTTGGCCTGCCTTCACGCTTCACTGACATGGTGATTTAAAGGTGTTGAGAGATGTTTTCATATTTTTCTGGAGACAGAAGCTGCTGGATTTAATTCTTTCAGAATCTATCTTATGATGGAAACATCACCACCTGCAAGCTCCACGCAATGGTGACTTGGAAATATATTGCTGTTCCTTCATTGCTGCTGATTCAGAAGCCTGGAACTTACTTCCCTCAGTACCATCAATGCATATATATCACATGGTTTAAGGTGGGTCACTGCCATCTTAAGGGCAGTTTGGGATGGGCAACAAATGTGGTCTTGCCAGCAATGCTCATGTTTCATGAAACATTTTTAAAAGTTTCAGTGGAGAAATGCCACTGAACACTGACAATTTTGCGTTATTACCATTGACATATTGGCCAGGATTTTGCATACATTGGATAGTGATTGAATAGCTGTGTGGTCTGCAATATTTACATGTTATTAGTCAGTGAGTGCCTTGGAGTCTATGATCTGTCAATTGTGTAGGACACTAAAGAACATTTTGTGTTCTAATAAACTATGGCCAATAAACTGTTTCCTGAATAGAAGATATTCTCTTTTAGCTCCACATAACAATCCAAATAAATAGTGGACCTGTAATGGATGGAATTTGAAGTGTACTTTTACATAGTGATAGTAGTTGTTAATGAGTTTAAAAATATATACAGGAAATTCTACTTTGAGGAAGTGTTTCAAACTTTAAGTCTGTCATCATTCAATTAATTGTCATTTATTAACTGTAGAGATGTATTCAGCAATCCTTTTGAATATCTGCAAGTTGTCACATAGGTCTGAAAAAAAATCTTAATAATGGTTCACATTATCCAAGTGTAACATTACAAAATAACAATTGCCTAAGAACAAAAATACCATCCCATTAACATGGTGACAATTCTCTGCAATTACATTAAATCCTACATGAAAATTATCCATTAACTGCAATCACCATTCTTAACAATACTTTTAAGTTGAACCTCATTCTACAGCCCTGAATTCACTCATAACTCATCCAACTATTATCATGTTCACTTTAAGTGTGAAGTGGTGCACTTTGGTAGAAAGGATAAAGAATGGGCAATATAAACAACGTACAATTTTAAAAGTGTGCAAGAACAGTCAATAAAGTTTTGAATGTTGCAGGACAGTTAAGAAAGCTGTAAAAAGGCATGAAAGATCCTTTGCATTATAAATAAAGGAATAGACCAAAAAAAAAGTTATATAAATCTTGTTGTAATTACAGACCTCAGCTTGACCACTCTACTGTTCAGAGGATCATATTTTATAAAGAATGCCAGGGCCTTAAATAAGGGGCACAGGAGGTTTACTAGAATGGTACTTGGAATGTTATATTTAAATTATGTGGATAGAATACAGGAGGTGGAATTGTTCTGTTTAAAACAGATAGAGGGAAATTCAATAGAAATTTTCAAAATGCTTAAAGATTTTGATAGGGTAAAGAAGAAGAAACTGGCACATGTGTATGTAATCAAAGGACACAAATGTAAGATAATAGAAGAACCGGAAGGGAAATGAGAATTTATTTGCATGCAGAAATTGTTATGATCTGGAATTCACTGCGTGTAAGAATGGTGAAAGCAGATTAATTGGCAACATCCAAAAATAATTGGATATGTACTTGAAAAGAAAATATTCTCCTGGGGAAAGAGCAGGAGAGTGGGAATAACTGTAGAGCTCTATGAAAGAGGTGGTACAGGCATGATAATTGAATGGATTCCATCTGTGCTGTGTTATTCTCGCATAGATTCATCTATGATGCAAGTTTAAGCAAGAATAAAATTTGAGGCTAAGAAATGTGCTACACAATACGAATATCAGAAACATATTAATTTGTATATTACTAATCGTTCACACTAAAATGATGTAGTAAAATTAGTTTATAGTAAAAAAAAACACCATTTACTTGGACCAATTTCAAATTCCAAAATGGAATTAGTTGCTGAACGATAGCTGAATCACATGATACAATTCATTTCAAGGACATCAGTTTATAAGTGAAAATAAGTTATGCCTAACTTGTACAGCACACTGCTGAGAACACATTTTATGCATGGTTCTAATACTTAAAAAAAACGTGTTGGAGTGGATTGGATCAACTGAAATGATAATTTCCAGGTGTTGTAGACTTACAGAATCATTGCAGTACAGAAGGAGGCCACTCAGTCCATCTTGACTGCACTGGCTCTCTGAGCATTTTAACTTAGTGCCAATCTCCTGCATTTTCCTATATCCCTGCACATTGTTTTTCTTTAAATAATTCCAATTTCCTGTGGGATGCCTCCATTGAACCTGTCTCCACCACAATTCCAGGCTGTGCAATTCTAGGCCTTACTACTTTCTGTGTGAAAAAGTTTTTTTTTCATACCTTGCATTTGCTTCTTCTGCAAAACTCTTTCAAACTGTGCCCTCTGGTTCGCAATCCTTTTATAAGTGGGAACAATCTCTCCATATCTACAGACCTGACACCTCAATTTTGAAACCTTCTAACAAATCCCCCTCACCCTTCTCCTCTCCATTGCAAACAGTCCCAGCTTCTCCACACTTTTCTCATAATTGAAGTGTCTCATTCCAGGAACTATTCTTGTAAACCCTCTTCTGCACCCTCTACAATGCATTCACATTCTTCCTGTTGTGTGGCACCCAGAGTTGTACACACAGTACACCAGCTGAGAACTAATGTCTTGGATAAGTTCAGCCTTGCACCTGTAAACTACACACCTATTCACAAAGCCTAAAATACTGTATGCTTTATTAACAGCTCTTTCTATCTATTTTGCCACGTTGAATGTTTGTACATACACATCCAGGACACACTGTTCCTGCACACCCTTTAGACTAGTTCCTTTATTTTACGTTGGCTCTCCATGTTCTTTGTACCAAAGACCAAAGTACATTACCTCACACTTCTCCACATTAAACACCATCTGTCACCAATCCACCCACTTCACCAACATATCAATGTCCTTTTGAAGTTCTGTACTGTTCACCTCACAGTTTACAATTCTCCCAAGTTTTGCCATCTGTAAATTTTGAAATTTTTCCCCACACAACAAGATCTTGATGCATATAAATAAAGGGTCTCAACATCAACCCTTTGGGAATGCTACTACAAATCCAACAACTCAAAAAATAATAATAATTACTCTTTCCTATCCCTTAGCCAGCTTTATATCCATATTGCCACTGTCCCTTTTATTCCTGAGCTATATTTTCCACCTAATGTTGTGGCACTGCATCAAACATCTTGCAGAAGTCCATCCATAATGTTCCCCTCATCAACCCTCTATGTTAGTACTTCAAAAAAAATCCTCAAACTTGTTAATTAGACATGATTTTCCCTTAACAAATCCATGCCAAGTTTTCTGAATTGATCTGCATTTTTCCATGTGCCTACTACTTAAGTTGCCCCATCATCAAAATTGAACTGATTAGCCCAGCAGTTACAGGTCAATCTGCACAACCTTTTTGAACAAGGGTGTAATTATGTGAGGTTCTCCAAACCTCCACCACCATCCTCAAAACCATAGACGATTGAAAGATTATGGCCAGCACTTCTGCAATTTTCCCTCTCACTTTCTTCAATCCAAGGATACATCTCATTTGGTTCTAATGAATTATCAACTTTAAATACTGACAGCTTTCCTATACCTCATCCCTATCAATTTTAAAGCATTTTAGTGATTGTGTTTCCTCCTCTGTCACTACGGCCTAGGCAGCATCTACCTCATAGATAAAGACAGATCCAAAGTACTCCATTAACTGTTCAGCTATGTGTTCTGCTTCTGTGTAAATTCCCTTTTTGGTCCCCAATCACCCTTTTAACCCTGACCACCCTTTTAACTATTAACGTACTTATAAATGACTTTTGGATTTCTTTTTATGTTAGCTTCCAGCCCTTTTTTTTAAAAAAAAAAATCCCTTTTTGCATTTCTTATTTGCTTTTTCACCTCCTTTACGGATTCAGGTTGGTTCTCAACTGTACTTACTACCTGATGCCCATCATAAGCACACTTTTTTTCTTTAACTTAATTTCTATATCATTCAGCGAACTCTGGATTTATTTGTCCTACTTTTTTCCTTTTGAGGGAATATACCTTAACTCTGCCTGAATAATGTGTTCTTTGTAAGTAGTCCATTGTTCAGCTCCTGCATTTCCTAACCTTTGCTTTAAGTCTAGCTGACCCAGCTTGCTCTTACTCAAATGGATGTTGACTCTCCACTAGTGGATCATTCTCTCTCTGGCCTGACTAATGTAGTTTTCTACTACCGTTCTAAACCTTATGATTCAATGTTCACTGTCCTACTAAATGTTCATTCACAGTGACTTGATCTACTTGGCCAAGTCATTCCTAAGAACCAGGTCCAGCAGTGTCTCTTTTCCTGTTGGACTGGACATATACTGCTGGACAAAATTCTCTTGAACACAATCTAGGAATGCTTGTCCTTCATCGACCCTGATATTATCATCATTCTAGTCAATATACAAGTAATTCAAGTCCCACATTGGAAACTACTATATAATGTTTAATCTTTGCAGATTTGTTCCTCTATATCCTTCCCACTAGCTGGTGGTCTATATATTACACCGAGCAATTGCCACTCTTCTTATTCCTTAGCTCTAACCAAATCAATTTGTTCTTTGAACCATCTGAAACATCCCCTATCTCCAGTTGTGCAATGCTCTTCTTAACCAGAATCACTGCTTCCTCTTCCTTCCATTTCCCAGCTTTCCAAACACACTGTAACCAGGAATACTTAAAACCCAGATCTGTTCTTCCTTAAGACAAGTGTCTGTTATTGCCAAAACATCATAATCTCACAAGGTAATCTGTGCCTGTAAATCCCGTTTTATTAACTATACTCCATGCATCCACATACATGCACTGTAACACTGATTTAAACTTCATTACTTTCTTACTTGCTCTAATTCCACTTATTTACTTACTATTCTCTACTTTAGTGTTATTTGTCTCTCCTACCATTTCATGAAACCTTGGCAAGACCCCTGGAATTCTAATTTGCAATGGCATATGTTTAATCCCTGGCAGCACACTGACAAAGCCAGGAAAGCTAAAGTTACCCTGAAATTTGATCTCTAGCCTAGTTTTTATAATTTTGGTGGGTGGTCTTTCATGTCTCCACATACAGTTTTACGTATTTGAAGGAAGTAATATTTGACCACTTGCCTTTGGAAGCGTGCTATGATGAATGGGTAAAGGAACAATTAAAAATACTTAGATTTTGTCGGTGATCACATAGGGCAGTGAAGAATCAAGAGTGAATTGTCACCTGTTCTCCTGAGTGATAATCAATTTCTCAAGAAGCTCCATCCACGAGGCTCATGATTTATACATGGAAAGGGATCAACACTTGTTTTAGAAAGCCATCAGGAAAGCCTGCAAAGCCAATTACATCAATACTGTGATGCCAATATCCAATTGCTGAGTGGCTACAGAACATTGCAACTAACATTTCTTTATGTTTCCCTTGTTAGTTGCCTGGAAAATAAGTATCATAAGTTTCTACCACACATCCCACACTGAAAAAAGTTATGATATAACCTTTGCCAGGCAGAGAAATTTTTGTATCGGGAATTGCTCCTGAGCATGTATGTGGCACTCATCAAATAAACTGTGGCAAATATAATGATATTGAAAGAAATCAAAGATGAAAAATCCAATCTTTATCCTGTGACTCAGAAATTGGCCAACGTTTGGAAAGCAATGTTGAACTGGTTCCACACCAATTTTGACAACATATTCAATTTCTATCAGTGTTGATTCTGTGCGTATTGATATTGATTCTGAGACTGGTGTTGTAAGTGCTGCTACCTTGTAATTTTTTTCAGAAATGAACAATAAAGCTCACTGAGTTACCTCAAGGAAATGGTGAGCTTAATTGGTAAATGGCCTCATTACATCTCTGCATTTTTTACAAACTTAGCAGGTTTACTGTTGTCGGAAATAAAATGAACAAAGCATGCTTATTTAGACTGAATAAAAACACTTTTAACTACTCTCTTTACTCTCTTTTTTGGCAACAAGACATCAACACTTACAGATTTAGTTTTTAACAGATTTTCAGTTCCTGTGCTGATAAAAATGCTGAACATTTTCTTAGCAGTTTCCACTCTGACTGAAATATTAGAAAATTAGGCTCTAGTACTCAACAGTCAATAGATTTACTAAAGATTGCAATATTATAGTCATGATTACAGACATTGGTTATTTAGGGGTGTCATGCATTAAGGAGTTCATGTTGTTTGTCAGTTCGTCCAATAGCATCTGGGTTTGATAATGGGTCCAAATCAGCAAAAAGGTTAAGCCATGTAGACAGGTCAGTTGGGGTTTTCTGAGCAGCTGTAAATACAAAAAACAACTGTGTTATCACATTGTCTGACAATACATGTCAAAGCTAACTTATTATAATACTAAATTCAAGACTGTAAAGTTGAACTTTTAACTTTATTTCTCTACTTTATACCTAAGTTATTGTACCTAGGTACCTTTGTACTTAAGATGGTGCCAGAGAATTGTAACTTAGTACACTTTTCACGGTACTCCTGTATCCCTGTACGTGATAATAAAACCTAATTCTAATATGACAAAACATCAACTGCATTATGGCATAAATTAAACTGTATACAGTACAATCGATATTCGCTACATTCAGTAGTTGATAATAATAGATTCAGGTCAGCAGTGAGCACAAATTCAGGACACAGAACACATGGTATTATATTTACATTATGTACTCATGTTTCAAAAACGAGAATTATTATAATAAATGGCTGCTTTTTCCATTACCGAACAAACTCCACACACATGAAATAAGTTGAGGTTTCAATCTTATCAGATAAAAATGCTGAATCTTTGCCCTGCTTCTGTAATCTTAATGAATTTTGCAATTATATTTTCACCATTTCTATCACAACTCTGAATCAATTAAATATGGCAGGAATAAAATGGGAAGCACATAACATATCTGTTATGAGCAAGGCTTTTAACTACACTGTACTGTCTCATTTCCATTCCATTCTTTCACTACTAACACCGTGCTCACTGACCTACATTGTCTTCTGGTCTGGGAATGCATCTGTAAAATTCTCATTCTAGTATTCAAATTCATGCATGGTGTCACCCCTCTTAGCTCTGTAAACACGTCCAGCCCGATACCCCTCTTAAAACTCTATGTTCCTTCAACTCTGCCCTCTTGGGAATCCCTTAATGCTCCCTATCATTGGTTGCTGTGCATTCAGCTAAGCCCCCAATACTAGCAGTTCACATTACAGAAGAGTAAGTGCTGGAGGTCTTAGGAAACAAAGGTGGATACAATCCCCGGGACATGATCAAGTGTATCCCAGGATGTTGTGGGAAGTTAGGGAAGAAAGTGAGGGGCCCCTAGCAGAAATATTTGTATCATCTATAACCACAGGTGTAGTGCCGGAGGACTGGAGGGTGGCTAATGTTGTGCCTTTATGTAAGAAAGGCTGTAAGGGGAAGCCTGAGATGTAGACATGTGAGCCTGATATCGGTGGTAGATAGGTTGTTGGAGGTGATTCCGAAAGATAGGATTTACATGCATTTGGGAAGGCAAAGATTTATTAGGGATAGTCAGCCTGGTTTTGTGCAAGGAAAGTCTTGTCTCACAAACGATTGAGTTTTCTGAAAAATGTTTACATGGACTTTGGTAAAGCCTTTGACAACGTTCCGCGTGGTAGTCTAATTAGTAAAGTTAGATCACGTGGGATTCATGTACATACCCAAATGTTTTTTATATGTTGTAACTGTACCTGCATCAACCACTTCCTCTGGCAGTTCATTCTATACACAAACCACTCTGTAAAAAAAGTGCCCCTCATGTCCTTTTTAAAAACTTTCTCCTCTCTCATTAAAACTATGCCCCCTAGTTTTGAACTCTCCTACCCTTGGGAAAAGACCCTTGCTATTCACCTTATCTATGCCTGTCATGATTTTGTAAATGTCTGTACGGTCACCCCTCAACCTCCTAAGTTCCAGAGGAGAAAAGGTCCCAGCCTATCCGCTGTAGTTTTATAACTCAAACCCTCCATTCACAGTCATGAAATGTTACTGTTTGATAAATGCAAGTTGTTATTGAAAATGCATAACCAAAAAGAAACGATATCTATAAAAATGATAACAGCTCAAGGTTCTGAGTGATTCCTTCCTCTGCGTATTAGAAATTGAACATTTTTGTAGCATGCTCTTTCCAAACTCAGATAACATATACAAAATTATTGATTGATGTAAGTGGACATTCTGGACAGTTAACCAGATTCAAAACAAATAAATGTCTAGCTGTAAATGGTGTTTGCTATCATGATAACCACTTACAACTACATTCTTACAGGGGACATATAGCATGAATCCAGGAATAAAGAGAAAAATAAACATATGAATACCACTCACCCTATTTTATTATATGAAAAGGTTAATCAAAACTATGATTTCAAATGGCACTTTTTAATAGAAGGACAGACGATGTCATTACCTTTGAGTGGATTCTTATTGATGTTTTCGTTCAATCCATTTATTTGTTCTGTTGTTTGGGATGTAGGCTGAGTATTACCACCAGCTGCTGCCCAACCTAAAATTCAAATCAAAATATTAGCTGATGTGGAATTTAAACACTAAATACTGCAATACTGATTGATTTTTTATTCATTCATGGGATGTAGGCATCATGGATCAGCATTTATTGCCGATCCCAAGTTGCCCTTGAAAATGTGGAGGCATGCTGCTTTCTTGAAGTGTTGCTGCCCATTTGGTGTGGGTAGACACATGCCATTAGCAACAGAATTCCAGGATTTCGACCAGGTCTTTGTTATCATAAATAAGTGTTTAATCACACTGGCTGAAGACTGGCACTTGTGATCCAGGTGACCCTTGGAGGAGGCCAAGATAGAACATCAATAGGCACTTCTGGTTAAAGATTGTTAGAAATGCTTCAACCTTATGTTTTGCACTGATGTGCTGGTCTCTCTTAACGTTGAGGATAGGAATATTTGTTAGCAGCCTTCTCTAATGTGTTGTTTAATTGGCCACAATCATTTACAATTGGATGTGGCAGGACTGCAGTGCTTGATCTGTTGGTTTGTGAAACTGCTTAGTTCTATCACTTGCTGCTTATACTGTTTGGCATGCAAGCAATCCTGTTTTATACCTTTTCCAAGTTTTCATCTCACTTTTAGGTATGCCTGTTATTGCTCCTGACATATCCTCCTGCACTCTTCATTTAACCAGGGTTTGATTTCCTGAATTGATGGTAATTGTAATGTGGGGATATTCTAGGCCGAGAGGTTGCAGATTGTACCTTAGAGACGTTAAGAGCTCAGTTGCTAGATCAGCTCTAAGTCTGTCCCCTTTAGCACACTGTGGCAATGCCACGCAAAATGATGAAGGGTGTTTTCCATGTGAAAACAGGAGGCTTAGTTTTCCTAAGCAATGGCCAATGGTCACTCCTACTGATACTATCACAGGCAAATGAATTTGCAGCACACAGATTGGTGAAGTTAAGGTCAAATCTGTTTTCCCTCACCACTTACTGGAGACCCAGTCTAGCAGCTAGGTTTTTGGCTTTCGACCACACAGTTCAGCAGTGGTGCTACAGAGCCACTTTTGGTAATAGATTTTGAAGTACTTCATCCAGAGTACATTCCACACCTTTGCTGTGCTGTGTTTCCTCCAAGAGGTGTTTAACATGGACAAACACTGAATTTTCAGGTCAGCAAGGTGTGTATATGGTAGTCAGCAGGAAATTTCCTTGCCCGTGCTTGACTGGTACAGTGAGACTTTATGGGGTCTAGAGGCAAAGTTGAGGATAGCCTACTGCATAATACACTGTCATCACCTCTGCTGGTTCTGTCCCTTCACTGGGATAGGACATACTGAAGAACGGTGAGATTGCTGTCTGGGACTTCTAGTGGAATTTAATAGGTGTCTGAATGATGTGGGTTATGACGAGACTTGTGGCAGAATTGAGTGAGAATTCTGGTGAGATGCGTCACAACGTATCTCAATCCATCTTTTAGATTTCTTATAAGCGACATGACAGCAGTCTCACCAGCCAGCAGGAAGTTAGCAAATGACAACAATTATTAGATTCCTTGTTGAAAGCCCAACACACCTCATTACTATTATGGCTGAAATCTTACCAAATGCACCCAACAAACCAGATGTTAGGAAAACCTGGCATGGAAATCTTAGCATGTGCTTGACAGGTTGAGCTAGCTGCTTGGTCCAAACAACCTCTATGTTAGACATCAGGCATTGATATCTCAGGACACGGTCCATGGGCATCAGCCACATGCAGCCTACGTCCACGCACATTGGCATCAGACATGTGCTGACTTTTAAGAAGTTTCAAGACACTTTGCTGATGCTTCTGCACTTCAATGCTGCATCTCGGGCGGCATTGGTAACCATCATCATGATACTGCTGCAACAATATTGTGCACTCAGATGTGCACCCAGCTCTTGGACTGGGTTGGACTGCAGTGCTGGACTCTCTACACTGTCATGTGGCTCACTTAATCTGAACCTACCTACACGCTCACAGCATCCTTGCCTTGCCTTGCCTTGCAATGCTTTGCCCCCTCAGCCAGAGATAACAGGCTCATTACTGCTGTCTTGTTGTACTGTTTAAAAAGCACAGGCTTAAAGCCAGGAAGCTTGCCTCAGTCCTCAGTTAAATCAAGGGAGTTAGCCTTCACTCAGGGTGTCCTGGTCTAGTAAGTCAAAGGCAACAGCAGATACCAGTTAAGGAGGTTGCACACAGTCAGTCAGCAGCTTGGGCCTGTCAGAATCAGGATCCTCCCCTCATAAGGAGCAAGGGGTCAAATTACAGGAAGCCAAGTCTTGATTCTTTCTGTCCTATATTGGGCTGTTTTCTTCTGGAATGAGAGAGAGGCAGGTATTAAGAGAGATAAAAGTAGGTCACATAGTTGCTGCAGGTGGGCAGGTAACCAAGCCACTGAATAGGTAGCATAGAGGGCATACAGGTTTAGGGTATCGGGGTGGGAGAAAGAAAGTGAGGAAAAATGTTGCAGGCAATAGTGAAAGGGGTAGCACATGAGCCTTGATGGGAGGTGGATACAGTAGTGCAGAGAGACTGAACTAAGAAAACAGTGTCAATGTTTGATTATCTGTACCACATGAACTGCAGTGGTTCAAGAAGGAGGATCATTAGCACCCTCTCAAAGACAATATGGGATGGGCAATAAAGACTGACCTTGCTAGGAATGCTCTCATTCCATAAATAAAAACAATAAAAATAATTGAGCGGCATATTAATCTGTGAATTAGTTACTTCACATTCACATATATCATAAAGTATAATGTGAGATTTCCCTTTAATTGTTAAAGGAAAATTATTTCCGGAATACGTTCAAACACCAACATTTAACATTGCTAGATCTCTTTTATACAAAGCTTTGTCAAAAATCAGTAACTGAGATAAAGTTTCACCAAAAGTTTAGATTGATTCTGTCATCTCGATCCATTATAGGATGAAATGATTCAGCCTTTACTCTTTGCAGTGAAGCAGGTTGGTCCTCTCAATATATTAAAATGCTGACTGTAAACAATGGTCCAGTTTCTGTAATCAGCTCTACCAGTGGACTGTTGTGCAGGGGCTTTAGGATCCTGGAGCAATCTTACAATGATGTCACACAGCTGTTCCTAGCTGGACATAAAAAGCACGATGTGGGTGAAGTTAAGGGAGAGGAGAGAAACATGTAGCGAGCCAGACAGCAACCTGAAGCCTAACTACGTCAGTATTGGAACCACAAGCAGAGGAGCTTGTGCGGTAGACTAACTGGAATTAGGCAGTAGATTTCATGGTATAGAGACTTTCAATAATGATATAGTCAGATTAGAGGAGGCAGTGGTATGGTGGTAATGTCACTAGACTAGTAATGCAGAGACACAGGGTTATGTTCTGGGCTCAAATCATGCGTGGCAGATGATGAAATTTGAATTCAATACAAATTTGGAATTAAAAGCTAATCTAATGGCAACTATATAATCACTGTTGATTATCATAAAAATCCATCTGGTTCACTAATGGCTCTTTGGGAAGAAAAGTTGCTGCCTTTACCTGGTCTGGACCACACGTGACTCCAGAAGCACTGCAATGTGGTTGACTCCTAATTGCCCTCAGAAACTTCTTAGAGTCAGAGTCATTCAGTTCAAGGGCAACTACGGATGGATGACAATCGCCAGTCTTGCCAGTAATGCTCACAAGAAGTGCCTGGTGTATCTCTGAATATCATGTATTGTCGTATTTAGTCTTAAAATGCAATAAAATGTAGTAAAGAAAACCAAGCCTGAAGACAATTCTTCCCCTAGCCTTCTCTTTGACCAGTCCGTCTTGAACCCAAATTCATGGATATGGGAATAAAACAAAAACAACAAGAGTGACAGCTGTCCATTTCGTTAACCATTGCCCTCAATTTTAATGTGCGTTTGCAAGAAAACGTGGTGATTAGAAATCTATTTCAGCACAGCACTATCTATAGAGAATTTAACAAACATCTGGGTATTTTGGCAATCTAATTGAATAAAGAATCAAAACTGAAACTTACAGTCTAAACCAGGAAATGTCAGCATAATTAGCTCGATACCACATCACATATTGGAGAGAGATACAGAAAGATGGGATTCAGAAAGAAATGATGCAAGTACAAAAGCTTTTTCTTAAAAATAATATTTAGTGTTTATAAATTTCAAACAGTAATTAAGATTTGATATGATGACACCTCATTGTTTTTAAGGCAAAGTTTCAATGCCAGGGTGGCTGTTTGGCAGTAATTAATATTTCCACACCATTAAAAATGTAATTACATTGGAATGGGCAAGCGCCAGGAGTTTTTGGGTGACCTTAGTGTATTTCTATCATGTAGGTACTGCAACTTTACACCCTTCCACTGTGGAGTCCCTTAGTGAGATCATGGTTGTGATGACATAGCTTCTGGAGGAGCATCCAACTCAGTTCCTGATTTTTGTGTTTAATAGCACACGTGGCTGCCAGATGTTGCTGTTGTTTCATTTGCTCTTTTATATTGAGTCTGTTGTTTTTACAAGATTTAGGCAAAGGTGGTTTCAGAAGGTGGTTAATGTAGCTGTTGTGGCTAAAGGGATCAAGAAATATGGGGGAAAGGCGGGATTTGGATATTGAGCTTGATGTTCAGCGACGATCACATTGACTGGCGGATCCGACATGAGGGATCAATGGCCTACTCCTGCTCCGATCTTCTAGGTTTCTGATAGGAGTTCAGTAATTTCTTGCCAAATTATCAAGTTCACTGGACAACTTAATCAAATATTGCTTTAAAGTTCTTGCATTTGACCTTTATAGTTCTATAATATTAATCAAAATGCATTTGGCTAAGAACATACAGCAAAGCATAAATATCTTTCATCTCTGAGGGTTGGTGTGGACTTGTTGGGCAGAAGGACCTGTTTCCACATTGTAGGGATTCTACGATCTTCTGTGATCTTATTTTCTTTTGACTTGTTTTGCAGGAAATATTCAAAACATGCGGTTGTCACCAGGTTAATTTTTAAGCGTTTTGTTGATTCAGATCA